AGCCGAGTGAAGGAAGCATCCTCACAGCACAGCGCCAGACCTGAAAGTGGGCCCGGATGAGCTCACTTTCTAACAACAAAATGACTCAACACCCTCCTCTCCTGTCTTTCTCTAAGTGGCTGGTGCTCCTTCACCAATGACGACCTGTCCCTGTACCAACCCTCCTACCTCCACGTAGAAGGTAAAAATAAATCACCAAGACCCCCAGCTTTTTTAGAGTAGACCACGCAGGACAGACCCCCCACTTCCTGAGTCCCCCTTGGAATCACGCAGCACAGCACACGTCTCGCCCTGTCCAGACCCAACCCCGCCCCTTCCCAGGATGTCCAGGAGGCTCCTGAGCAACTCAAGGCGTTTCACCGCAGGTGCGCTCCTCTCCTGGTCTGCGCTCAGAGGGCAGCAACTGCTCAAACAAGCTCTACTCTGTGCTTTACCTTACTTCTCTCATAAGTATTGTCTGTTTCGCAGAAAAAGATATAATTAAAAAGACCCAATTATAGTAACAACAAAGACAAAAGTCTTAGGACAAAGCATGGTGAAACCTAAAAAGCTTATACGAAAAAAATAAGCAAACACAAATAGCCAAGGAAATTCTGAAAAAGAAAACTGACTGAAGACACTCTAACCCTACCAGACACTAAAATATAATGGAAACCATATACCACTGGTGCATTCATTGAAGGGCCAATAAAAAAGAACAAACAGTAGATAGAAAATAGATGGGGGGCAAGAATAGCATGGGAAATATAGAATCTAAACGACTTGAGACACATGGTCATAAACTAAAGGGGGGGTAATGGTGGGGATGGGGGGTAGGGTGGAGGGGAATGAAAGGGGGAATAGAACAACTGTAACAGCATAATCAATAAAAAAAATTTTTTAAAAAAAGAACAAAAAAAATCACCGAATAATCTCTCACACTGTACCTAAGCAAATTGAACAACTAATAAAAGTGCATTTCGAATCAACTGAGAAAAGATTAATTCTATGTGTCACTTGCAGTGTTTTGGGGATGAAATCAACATCTAAATGAGGGACCTGACACAAAAGAGACTGTACTCCACGGTTGGGGTGGGCGGGGTGGGTGCCACACCCAGCAAGCTGAAGATCTGGAGACCACAGAGAGAAGGGCCCTGGAGGCCAGAGGGCTCCCCAGCAAACTGCCCTCGGACTCCCTGCCGCAGGGTCCGTGGGCCCACACTTCGGATTTTGGGCTTGCCAGCCTCCATACTCAGGTAAGACAATTACTTCTACCGAATCTCTTTATACCAACCAATCGGATGTGCATCCATATACACATCCTAGTGGTTCTGCTTCCTGGAGAGTCCTAATAAAATAGCCACACAGGGAAAAGTACTTAAACAAGCAAGCAGCCATCCAGAAAAAAGACAGTTAAGTTGGATGCATACCTCTCTCCACAGATTAGGATAAGAGAAATATAACAATGAATCTACGCAATTGCTATAAAATAACATGGAAAAGTTCCTTTGTGACTCTGAAGTATGGACGCCTGCCTCATCCTCCCACTAAGAATAAAATCCAAAGACAATAAAAGCATGATAATTGACTACAAAGTTGTTTAACTTAAAAGCCCCTCTGCATAACCCCCTCAAAAAAAAAAGGGTCCCATTATTGATGTCAAAACACAAATGATAACATGAGGGATGGTGGTTAGTAACTTAAACCACAAAGGTCCATGGTCCCTAATATATAAAGAGCTTTCATAAATCAATTTTTTTTAAATACCAACAACTAAATGGATAATTTTAAGATTTAAAAAATACAGGTTTAAAGTCCAGAAAAAAGGAAATGCAAACAACTTTTAAATATATAAGATGCTTAACCATCAATCAGAAGATAAATGCAAATTAAAACTACATTAGCGGATTGGCAAAAATCCAGAAGCTTCATAACACGGCGCCGTTGGCACATGTGTAGGGAAACAAGAACTCTCACACATCGATGGTGGAGCACAAGTTGGTACGAGCCCTAGGGGAACAATCTGGCAATATTTACCAGAATTATAACTGCAGTGTGGCTTCCAGGAATTTATCCTACAGATATACTTACACATTTATGAACTAACACATACTCAAAGTTTATCATGGCAATATTGTTTAAATTGCAAATAAGTAAAAACACTATAAGTGTGCACCAAAAGAGAATTGGTGAAGTTATGGTATGTTCGTAAAATGGAATAAAGCTATATGAAGGCCTGCTTTATGTTTTCCTTTGTGAAGATCTACAGGAAACATTTAAGGGAGTGGGGGAGGGGGGACTACAAAGCACAGGCGAGTTCAAACAGTGCTTTAGAGCATTGCCACCATATGGGTAAGAGTTGGGTAAGAACTAAAGTGCAACATACTGCTTCTCCATTTAAATAAAGACACTCCGGAAAGACGTTCAAGAACTAATAAAGTGGTTAGCTGCCAGAAGATGGCGTGGGTGGTGAATTGGGGAAAAAAAAACTGGTGGGAGACTTTTATCTGTACCCTTTCCTCGTACTTTGTAAGTTCTGAAACATATGAATGTGTTAACTATTCAAAATACTGCACATTAAAAACAGAGACACAAAATGAGGAATCTTTTCCTTTTAATCTTTATTGTCTGTTTTCTGTTACCATTTAGACCCCTTACACCCCCATCCCCAACTTGCAACCCCCTCGCTGCACCCCTTAACCCCCCTGGTAGCTGTCAGCCTGCCCTCTGAGTCTGGAAGTAAGGAATCTCAGTGGAACCCTAAAATCGCCTTTTTATGAGTCACACTGACAGGACACTCAAAGTGTGATCTGCTGGTTGACTCCTAACTGTAAAACCTCTGTGTGCTTTGTCTGGAAACAAAAGGAAAGTCTACAGAGAGAATCATTTTGTCTGTTATGAAAAAACTGGCATATTACAGTAAATACTGTTGAGCTTTGGTTTCTAAATGTATGTGAACTCAGTATTACAAATTCTTACTAAAATTCAGCTTGATTTTGAAAATATTCTATTGGTCAGTTTTTATTTTGTTTTGGGGATACATCTGGGGAAATTATTCTGCTTTTGGAGGTGCTAACTATTATCTAAAATACAAGATCTCACTTCCTAGAGAAACTTTCTAAGTTAATCCTAACATAAACTCCCTGAAAAACAAACTCTTCCTATTAAACAAGAGCCCTGGGTTCCTGCATGGCTCTGACCTCCACGGCTCGTCCCATAATGATTTTAATGAAACTGAAAAAATGCCAGGCATTCTACAGTTAGGGAGTATGAAAACAAGAAAATATTTCCAAAGCACTTTGAGGAATGTTTGATTTTTCTCAGAATAAACAAAATTGGCAATATTTACATTAAAAACTCGTGCTTATATAGTACTTCTGACATAATGACAGTACCAATCAAAGCATAAAACAGACCTAAACTAAGCCCATTAAAATACTATTCATTAAAGTAAGATTTTACCTGTAGCATGCTTTAAATATTTAACTGTGAAGGATATTAAGTAACTAATTGCCATGTGGCAGAAGTCATCAGCAACTGCTTCAGAAAGGAAGTAGATTTTGAGCTTGGTCTTGAAGGAAATGAGCGGCACCCAGAGTCCTTAATCAAAGCGGTTCTACAATGAGAGCTTTAATGCAGCACACCGAAGCGAAATGAGTAACACAATCTCTCCTCTGAGTCCCTCCTAAATTTTGATGACATGACAAAACTTTCTGTGTCTACAGAGTCCAAGAAGGTTCCGGAAGCCATTGAAAAGCCTGTAACTTTACAGCTCACAAACCCACATACTGGTTTCTTACTTAAAAGGAAATGAGAAAGCTTTTTAATTTTCCCACATTTCACCAAAAGACCAGAAAAAAATAACTCAAAAATAATGTACATTCCTGCCTCTATAAATCCCTTTACGTAATAACAAAACTTTGAAATCATGTATGCAAAGACAGGATTTAACATGTTTCACGTGTTTTGTTAAAGCTATACGCTCCTTTATGGACTCTTACATAAAAGGCACCTGGGAAGACTCCAACAAACCCAAGTTAGTAGGTGAGAAATGAGCTGCATTGATTAAAATTAAGCTCCATATCTGTATATATTTTGCTCAGCCTTAACAATCTCTTCAAGATGTGTTAAAAGCACTTTAAAAACTGAATAATCAGTGCCACTGTCTTCCCATCTCTTCATCAGCCCTACCCCACAAAAGGGAAAAAAAAAAACCCAAAATGGAAAGTTGCATTATGATGCTAACGACTGGAAGCGAATGAATGAAAGTCGCACTGGGATCCACAGTTGGAGTCCCAGCTCCTGATACGTTAGTATCACTCAATGACAATCTCTGAAACAAGACGCAATTGAATAACTTTACCAAATGCATATGTACTATTTTTCTACAAACCATGTAAGCTGAAATATATAGCCCAATAACCTACAAGCGTATTTAATGAGGCTAATTTAAACTAGAAGCTGCTTAATATACTTAAAGTACATGATTCCCTTTAGTATTATAATATATTGTAATTGAAGTGATTATGTTTATAAGCTAGTTTAAGAAGAATAACACTGCCAAAAGCAACAATGTTTTGATATACTAGTGCCTGCCATTAAAACAAAAACCAAAAACAGAGCTCAAGATACAAACACCAGGAATATGCGTGCCAACTAGCAAGAGTAAATGGTCGATAAAACCATTTTCATGAATCAGCCTCAAAGTGACAGAGCCCTTCCTTGAAGGATTCAGAGCACCAGTGACAAAGAACATGGAAAGACTGACATCTTCTGCTGTCACTGCCCAGTAATGTGAGAAGCAATTAAGCATCCTTCCCACCCTTCAGTCCCAGTCACCCGCCCATAAACAAACACTTCAGACTGGATTACAGTTTCGCATTTTCTGAAAAGGACATTTTTTTCCCCAGTGAGAAGAGAATGTTGAAAATGGGACAGGAAGATGCCTCGGAGCCCAGTCTGGCCTCCAAATGCAGAGCCTGAGGGTGATAGGAGGCCTGCAGAGTGGTCGCTGCGCTCACCTGCTGCGGCTGGTACCTCTGCTGGGACTGCGACGGCAGATACTGAGCCTGCGGGGGGAGGTGCGGAGGCTGCGGCTGCTGGTTGTAATAAGGCTGCTGGCCCTGCTGGCAGTAACCGCTCACACCTTGTTGTCCATACTGCGGAGGCATCTGTCAAAAAGTCAGGCAAAGAAAGCGAGAAAGTCAAAAAGTACACTTCGATGAAATCAAACATGGTCTCAATTTGGCAACATGAAGTGGGTTCTCTGCTAAGCGATGGCATTCAATATTTTCAAGTCTTTCCCTTACATAGGTCAACATTTTGCCTTATAGTCACAAACTGTCCTATCAATGAAGTCAAAAGATAATTTGCTCTAAAATATCACATACAGTAGTTACATTAGCAATTTCGTCGACTATTTTGCTAAAAAAAAAAAAACTACATTGCTTTACAATAATACTATGAATATCAAATAACACAACCATCAATGTGAGTTCTTCAAGGAAAGATATTCCTACTACGAGGACAGCATTCTCCTAGCTGGTGAACAGGTAACGGTGCCAAGCAGAGTGTACTGAGCTGCAAAAACCTCTGAGAGAGAGAGAGATGCAAAAACACGGCCTCCAATGTGTCTTCACCATCTCCAATTTAAATGAGCCTAAAAAGTTGTGCAATCGTTGCTCAAAAAACATCCTCCTTCTTCATACAATACATACACTGTTGAATTTTTAAGTGTTTTTTTCCAAATGAGAAATCTATGGACTTACAGATTTCTCATTCCAATTTTCTAATTGGAAGAGAGAGCTGGAGAGGAAAAGAAGGAAAAAAGATACCAAAAAGCACTCAACAGACAAAAAGGGTGAAATCACTCTTAACACCACTTGAGCCCTGTGAAGCCACACACTTACGAATTCACTGATCAGTTCCAGACAACACACTCAGGAAACAAACTCACTACAGACCTACTGAATGACAAAAAGTGGGAATGGTGAAAGAAAACAAATATTACATGCTTTGCCTCTAAGATCAATTAGCACTGTAATTCATGACACACACAATGAAGTAAAAGGGGAAAAAATGCAAACAGTTAAAGTTCATCCTTTTTTTGAACCCATCATTATTTCTAAGACCTGGCAGCAGCGACCCCAAAGCGCACGGCCCATGATGGCTCCCAAACGCCTCTCGTCACACAGACCCTACGTCAGATGAGCAGACGAGTTTGTACTGAAAACCATTTAGCAGCACAGTTGAAGGCTTTGCTTTTATTTATTTTGCAGCTTGATATCTCATAATGAATGTATGTCCCTGCCATAAGCCAAGCCAAAGAATTTCCATAAAATACAACTCCACATGCTAAAATACCATGGACTACCCACAACACATATCCTTCCGTTCAACACCCATATGTTTGATTTGATATCTAATACTATATTTCACACAAGCGTCTCTGCAGTTTGATTTGAAGCAGTTAGGATAACACTTTTTGCCGGTGTTAAAATGACTGCAAAGCTCAGTCGACACAGCCAGCAGACTCCCCTCTGAATTGCACTTTAATATGTTGACTTTCTGGTTTACAGAAACCTTACTTACGCACAATATGGAAGTGTTGCTTGGGGTGGGGGTTTCATTTTCCAAGCGAAACAACAACAGGGCATGTTCTGGAAGGAGTCAATTAACACCAGGCAGTCACGACACACTAGAATCTTTATCTGTTTCAGCCCTAGGAAGCTCTGGGGCAGGTTGGGGTGCAAGGGCAGTGGCCCGAGAGGCAGGCAGTGTGGGGGAGTGAGAGCGTCGGCAAATCTCCGATGGAGCCGCAGCAGCAATCTGCAGAACGCAGGAGAGGTGAGGCGAAGCCATCAAACACACCTGCTGGGGAGATTTCGCGACCACCTTCCCTGGGTAAAAGCCTGTTTGCTCTCCTTTTAGATCCACGGTCTGCCTCCTCCGGCACTAACCTACCCTGGTGCCTCATCGCTCTGAGCCCGGGATGCAGTGACTGAGGGCACAGGCAGCGATCAGTGAGGCCTGGGGCCTGGGGCCAACTGTCGAGTCTGCCACCCTTGTGTGGGAGCCACAGGACGGAACAGAAGTGACCAGCTCTCGTTCAGCGGAAGAACCTCTGGGTTCCAAACGTGGGAAATCTAAGCCCAAGTACCACTGTGCCCCAGCTGTGGGAACACGGACAACCGTCACCATACGCGTCCTGCGTCTCCATCTGCTCACCGGGGCTACCTGCTCTGCTAATCCACAGTAACACTATCACCAGCCGTGCACCAATCCAGCTTGGGTTCTCCATGGATGCTACCATCACTCATTAAACTACAGGTTGCAGTGGAAGCTCTGGAGTATTAACTATTCCCTAGGTTTTGCCTTGAAAGAGCAATTTCTAAATATAATACCTCAGCTGTCTGGAACTAAAGTCTAATTCTTTAATGATCAATATTGTTTTTGTTTTAATCAATCTAGATGCAGGGCTTTCAAAGAAATATATGCTTTTCTGACAGCTTCGACCAAACAGTCATTCTAACACGTGTCAGCAGGCCGGGACCTCACCCAGTGCTGGTGCCGCCAGCGGTCCATGCAGCCCCAGAGTGGACTCCCGTCCCACGCTGTGCTGTCTGCTCACGTGCCCGTGAGGCATTCAGCCATTGCTTGTCACCCTGAACGTGATCCCCAATGGAATCTGCTGAGGACTGAGAAACCCACTACATTGTTAAAACAATAAAGGATCAGTCCATGAGCTTTCACTGCTTTGTGAAATTGATTTTGGCTACTGAGAGTCTTTTTCTTTATCTCTTAGCTCTCAACCACAGTCAGGGTCAGTGAGATTACCAGACTATTGCATGCAAGAGAGATTTACCCAGGAATTACCGAGCACCTGGAACCACGGGCTGAGGGCTAAGGGCTGAGGGTACAAAGCCTTTCTGGCTCAGACCTCGCCTCTTCCCTGAGCAGCCCAGCCCCGATTCCCCCATCTGCATGCCAGCCCCCGATTCTATTTCACCAGAGGGGAGATGGTCTGGTTCAGTTCGTGTCTTTACGTCTGTCCTCCTCACTAGACTCAGCTTCCACACTCACCGTAGGCTTCCTGGAAGAGGGCCGGCCAGACCTAAGTGTTTGTTGAATGAATGAACGATGTTGTTCGGTGGAATGATAAATTGAGCTGTTGTAAAAAATTTTAAAGCAATGAACGAACACATTATAAAACTGAAATCACCTGTACCATCCAAATCTTTGATACACGTTATGTTCAGCTTCATCCAATAGCCGGAAACACTGAACCTCACCCCAAGGCAGCCTCAGGCCCTTGGCTGTTCACCGCTAACCCTTGAAGTCATTACTGTCCAAACTACTGGATTTAGAGCGCGGTTTGAATAAAAAGATTATCTCTAAACTAAACTAAAAGGACGTCTCTAGAAAATCCTGGGATGAGAGCTTTGGCTTGTTATTTAAAAACCAGAACTGACTTCACTTGTTTCTAAAAACTTTATTCTGATTTTCAAAGAAATATGAATGCTTTCAAATAGTATTAGAGAGGAAAAGCACAGCTAGAAATGACTCACTCACTCTAACATTTACTTTAGGAAACTATTTGGATGAAGGATTTGAGTATTAACTTGCACATCCGTGTATCACGTTAAATGTGCAGAGTTCCAGGCTCCGCTTTTCACTTCACCTAACCCTGAACTTTATGCTCACACCCCAAAACTGAAGAAATAATCAAGGTTCATCCTCCCCTTTTTATTCCTAAAAAAAATATTTAAAAAGCAGTTGACCCACAAAGTTTAAAGGTGCACTGACTTACAGGCCAGCAATTCCCCTCGTGAATAAATTCATGCCAAAGACACCCTCACTGAGTCCCCACAAGGACACCCGATGTAACTGCTTACGGAGGCCAGAAAGAGAGCACAATCAAACCCTGCCACCACAGGTAAATGGAGAAACGCATTTTGCTGTAGTCACACAATAGAATTCTATACAGCATTCAAAAAAAGCAAAGTAGTAAGACCCACATATCAAAACAGTTCAAATCTAAAAATTATAATGCTGAATTTAAAAAGAAAGCAACAAAATAAGTGCATGTTAATTCAACATGATACCATTTATGTAAATTTTAATACACAATAGTACATATTGTTTATGAAAATAATATATACAGTCCAACTACAAAAACACGCCATGCACTGAAAAGGAAATATATGATCCTCTCTAGAGAGGGGAGGGGGAAAAAAGAGGGTGGACCGTCAGCCTTGCATTTTTTCCCTTTAAAAAAGAGAGAAGCCGAGACAGCAAAATGTTAACAACACCTATAACCTTACTGTAGTTACTCAAGTGTCTACCATATTTGTTTCTGTGCTTTTCTGTGCGCCTGATTATTTCGCAATTTAAACTGAAGAAGGCGTTGCCTCCACCACATCCCAGGTTCCAGCACCACCAGCCAGTGGAAGAGTCACAGGAGAGGCTGCGGCGCCCCCCTCTTCCCCCCGCAGAAGACCCAGGGAGGGCTGGACAGAGGGGTGCTGCTCCGCCACTTTATTTAGAGTCCCAGCTAGGGCTGTGCTCCAGGACCACTCGCCACCACACCCCCCCAAACGCCACTCCAAGATAAAGACTTCATCGGGGTCTTCTAAATTTCCTGTGGACCAGCCAGTCTCTGAGGGAGGCACGTCAATGCCAGCGTTTCTCTGTACTTTCCTGCAGGGAACACTAATCTAACGAAGTTAACAAGGAACAAGACCTATAGTCAAAAATGTTCCAGGAATACATGCACTATAAAAATAAAACATAACGCCAATTAACACATTAAAGGACCTGTGAAATCCTTAAAGAGTTAAGAAGCCCCTCCTCTTTAAGTCCGCTGTTTCTCTGGTGCATCTGATTGCAAGCACACCACGCACCCCCGGATGTGAAATTCCAGGGAGGCGGAGCCTCCACAAGGCAGCCCCTGGGGCCCTCAGAACTCCCAGCCCGCAGCCCCGCAGCAACAGCTGAGTATCTGCAGGCTGAACCTCGGGAATCAGCACGTAAATCACCTGCTGCAAATCGCACACCACTGACACATAAATGTAAGAGCTTTCTGCCTTGGGCTACGCCCTGGTCCAGTCCAATGTTCTGTCTCTACAACAGCTCATAAAAACACTGGGAACAGAAATTATAACCCACTTCG